TTCTATTTTATAAAAATATATATGAATACTTACATGTAATAAATATTTTAATAATAAATACTTAAATTTGAATTTATATATTTTTATGTTATGTATATGAGTGTTTTGCCTGCATGTATGTAAATGTACCACATAAGTGCAATGTCCATGGAGGCCAAAAGAAGGCATCAGATCCCCTGAAACTGGAGTTACAGATGGTCGTTAGCCACCATGTGGTTGTTGGAAACTGAACCTGGGTCTTCTGCAAGATCAGCCAGGGTTCTTAACCACTGAGCCATCTCTCCAGCCCCTAATAATTTTTTGCATATTTTAAGCTTTTAAAACATTTCATGTTTATCTGAAAGTCTTACTTGACTTGGTGTTTGTCTTTTACTGGCAACCCTGCCCTAGTGGTGCACAACCTGGCCCTCCTGGGGTCAGTGGGTAACTAAGGATAATTCATGACTTCTCACTCAGGCCCAAAATCTCCTGCAGTGAATCACTGAATCTTGAGGAAGGGATGCATGTGTGGAAAGCTTCTGATTCTTTTCCCAAGTTGTTCACAGTGTGACTAGCCTGGGACCCCATACTTGAAACTGGCATCTGAAGCCAGGCAGTCTGTGCAGCCTGATGCTGACTCCACATAGTTAGTGCTGAAATTGGATAGAATTGTAAGACATCCAGTTGGTGATGAAGAATTACCTGATGTTTTTAAATCTTACATATTTTATGTCAGCGGTATGGAGCATAAAACAACTCATTTTACCCTGAGGATTATACATTAATACTAGCATATGCTGTGATCAGTAGTGATAATTGTTAAGTAAAACTTCATGTAAAGCTAAGCCAGCTCAATATTAGAATTCAGAGGAGCGAGACAAATACATTCTCCCTTCCTGTCACCATATTCCAACTTAGGGAACATCACAGTGCTGTTTCTTTTTTCAGATTTTCTACAGGCTCTTAAACCTGTCTAGGGAACTGTTAGCTCTCAGGGGACCTCACAAATCATACCACACATAACCCCTGTTTGGAAAGAGAAAATTTTAATGACCCACACAGTGGTTTATAATCTCTGTTATAAAGTATGTTAGAATAACTAATATCTTTCTTGAACAATCTCCTTCCTCCAGTACCTTAAAATTCAGAAAGATTTTTCTTACTTTGAAGGTAAAAGACTTATAATGATTTCTCTAAAATTAACAAAGCCAGCAGTTTAAAGAAAACATATGACATTTTCTTCTATTAACAAATACCTCAGCACATATAAAACATCAACACAAGCAAATTTCCTAGAAAACGCATGGTACGAATTTTTGCCATACTTTGAAGAGTTTCTAAATAAGAGTGTGGTAAATGCTCATGCAAACTGCTTTTATTCCACAAACCCTCAGAAAGCATCTGGCATTTGTAACACAAAGTTGGCATAAACATCACTGTTTCTAAACTTCTGGCAGGAGCTCTATAGAGGCAGTATCAAAAGCCTGTGCCCATAATATTCAATGAGTATTTGCTAAACAACTCATAAAAACATCATCCAGCAGGTTTCATTTCCAAATAAGACAGTGAAATCAAACCTTACTATGCTGAAGGGTTTCAGTGACAAGCAGCTCATGCCCCCATCTCTGTTCCTTTAGGAGAAAAGTGGGCACTGAAAATGGCTTCCCTGAGAAACTGGGAGAAGCCACGACCATGGCACCTGAAAGCGAAGACCCTGAAAAGCTCCAAGTTAAACTCCAGGCTTTTGAAGACAAAATAAATGTTGAGCGCAACACCCCAGGCGCCATCAGAAGATACAGCTTAGACCAAGTCTCTAAGGAAGAAAGAAAAAGTATTAGATTTAGCAGGTATGAATTGGTTCTGTTATCTGCACCAAGTATGTATTGCATTTGCTATTGGTTTGTGTCATGCTGTGTCATGCTGTGTCATGCTGTTTTTATACCTATAGCCACTCAAAATTCCGTCCTTTTATGAATGAGACATTATCTGTAGTGCTCTTGTTCAAGTCAGCTCACTATTTTGATTAAGGGAATACAACTGAGAGGCAGGTCTATGGTTTTATTTTTTTTTAAACTTTGTGAAAATAGGAAAGTCAATTTTGAGAATGGCAGTCAATGGCACTTCTTACTTTCTAATAAATAATCAAAAGTGATAAAAGGATAAAAATATGTATATCTATCACTTTGCAGCATGCTTTGCTATGAAATGGATTTAAATCTTTGGGGATGTGATCTAGATATTCTTTTCTTTTTTTCTTCTTGGTAGCACTAAGGATAAAACTCTGGGCCTTGTGCATGCTGAACATGCCCTATACCAGTGAACCACATCCCAGCTCTAGATTTTCAGAGGCATGACTTGTGACATAACCTAGAGGTCCTTGTTTTGTCCAGTCTATTAATAGCCTCTCATGCCAGAGGAAATAAATTTTGTCCTAGTGCTAGGTTTGTTTTGTTATTTTTTATGTCTTTAACTCTTCTAACCTTTGTTTGTAGGTCCAAAAGTTTGGCTTTGCATACTGTGCTCACAAAGGATGTGAGTTCAGATGATGGGGAAGATGAAGAAAGATCAGGAATACCCACCAGCATGTCTCTTTCAGACATAGACCCATTTAGCCATGGAACTGGAAAGTTGCCCCTTAAGACAGCTACCCATGGGTCACAGCCGAGAAATTCTTCAGCATCACACCCAAGTATTATACACACAGAATCAGAGAATGTGCCAGAAACTGTTAAAGAACATGTCCAGCAAGAGACTCCAGGGTCATCCACAAGTCCTGCTGAACACGAAGACAAGCTCTACTTGCATTTAAAGGAAAACCTCAGTAAGGTGAAAGCTTATGCCATGGAAATTGCCAAGAAGATCCCAATCCCAGATCAGTGCACCATCGAAGGTAAGTGCTTTGAACTGCCCACACTCAAGAAATTTCAGATGTCAATGACAAAGACAAACTCTCAAAGTACCTATATTGCCATACTCTTTCATGGGCCAAAAGAGCCATGTTAAAATACATCATTTTGAAAACATCTTATATCTTAGTTACTTCTTTTTCAGTAAAGTTGATCCATCTGTTCTTACCTTGTTGAGCCTACTTAGGTACATCTAAGCCTGCCATTTTTTTTCTTTGATATATATTTTTATTGAATTTTTGTGCATTTCATACATCTTAATCATATTTAGAGGCCCTCCTCTATCTGCACGCCCCCATAGCCCTCCCACTGGATTTCATACATTCTGTCATATATGTTAAAGCCTATCGAGTAAAGTTTGGGTCCCCAGATATCCCTTGGTGTGAGTTCATCCACTGGAGCCTGTTCAGTCTGCCTAGAGTCACTCCCTTAAAGAAGACCAACACTCCCTCACCCAGCAGTGATAAGCTAGCTGTCAATAATTCCTTGGCTAAAGTTGGGGCTTCTTACCCATTTCCCCAGTTCTATGCTGGGTTCTTGTCTGGATAAAGTTTGCACGGGTGTTGTGCATGCTGTCACCATTGCTATAAGATCATATGAGCAAGTTCCCAGCCACTTGGAAAACTCTGTTTTCTTGTGGTCATCTACCACCCCTGGCTCTTCGAGTATTTCCAACCCCCTTCCACAATTGTCCCTGAGCCCAGAGTGGCTTCACTGGTGAGAGTTGAGGGATGCATTAATATTTTCTCTAACTTCTGTTCTGCTATGTTCCGTGAGCCTTAGGTGTAGAAATTCCATTTTAGATGTGTCACTAAGGGGTGGGCCTCTCACAGACAATGATTTTCTGTGTGTGACCAGTTGTGGAACTCTGTAATAGTCTCCATCTATTGCAATAAGAAGCTTCTTTGATGAGTGGTGAGAGGTTTACTTGTCTATAACTATAAGGATACATATTTAGCATACAGTAAGAAATTATATTTGTCTATGGATGTGACAGACACAGATACAGGTTTTTCTCTAAGATCTATGACCTCTCCAACCACATGTATTCGGCTATCTTACTGACATTCTTCAGCCTAAAGAAAGAAGAAACCTTTAAATTTGGGTTTGATTTTGTTCTGAGATAGGGTCTCCTTATAGCCCCAGCTGCCCTGGAACTCACTATGTAGACCAGGCTGGCCTCAAGCTCACAAAGATCCACCTGCCTCTGCCTCCCAAGTGCTGGGATTAAAGGCATGCGCCACCACGCCTGGCCCATGTGTATTTCACTAGTTACAGTACCACGCATGAGTTCCCTCCTTCCCTTTGAGTGGGTCTGCCAATTTTTGCAAACCATTGTGTCACTTTGTTTCTAATTTTCTGTCCCCAATGTGAAAAAAAAAAACAGGGCCTTGAAGCAGGCTCTAGACACAGGTCCAGACAGAATAGAGATAATAAGGGAGGGAAGCTACACTCAGCCATGACTCCAAGAGATTTTTCTCATATACAGTTACTATGTGCCATGTACTGAGCCCTAAGGTGCTCAAGATTCAGACATCAACCAGACACAATCCCCAATTTCTTGGAGATTAGAGGACAAGAAGATAGAGCAGAACCATAGTGGAGAGGTGATGCAGATGATCAAGAGCCCATGAGACTGGGAGCCAGGAGATAACATAAAAACAGAATGTCAGGTCCCAGATCTCCCACAGGAACAGTTTAAAGTGGAACAAAAACACAGTCAGTTTAAATAATGATGGGATCAGTAACAATGTCATTGCAGCTACCCTGGATCCTTGGGCAAAACGAGTAACCATTGAGTATGCCGAAGCTTTTCCTAGTTATAACTTTGATATTTGGTGATCAAAGATTTTTGCACTATTTTAACTTTTTAATATCACTTCTATCAGTTAATAAATTTCTTCACATGATTTTTAAATTTTGTTTTATTATCTTCTATTCTCAAGCCTTTTATTACTTTAGAGATTTATTTTTTATTTATATGTATGTGTGTGTTTCTGTTTGTACATTACATGTATTTGAGTGTGGGTGCCCTCAGAGACCAGAAGAAGGTGTCAAATCCCCTAGAGTCAGTTGTAAGCTGCCTGACATAGGTACTAGGAGCCAAGTTCCGGTCCTTGACAACAGCAGTATGCACTCTGGATCCCGGAACCTGGCACTCCTTTACACTTCATGCCTTTACCCTGCTTCTGGGAAAGACAGTAGTTTGAGACACAGATGCTACAACCCTGAATGCCAGGCCAGACTCACTCTTCTGACAGCCATTTGAACTGGTTTGGACTGCTCACAGGAAATGTAGGGCTAACTGGAACTTTTCACCAGCAATCCTCAGAGGGCAGACATATTCATCTCTTGAGATCTACTTAATGGCCCCAACACTCTTGTAGAACATGCCATTTTCTCACAGGAAAAAGCCAAGCAATCCAACCCCTAGAAAGGAACCCAGTAGAAAGATGGGGATCCAATTCACAGTCATCTAGCTGTGTAGGTTTTGAGGGTTCAGTTTCCCAAACTCTACCTCCCATGCTGTTTCCCACTTCCAAACAAAATAAAGAGTATATGCTGCTAGCCCAGGGAAAATCAGGTTCAAGCAGTCAATAATAACAAATATGATTATCTGCCATGTCTGTGAGGAAGCTGATACTCTCAGTGTCTGTAGTCATTTGATTAGCCTTCTCAAATTTCTTTTCTAGTGGAAAAAAAAATAAAAGTAGTGTTGCTTAATTTAAGTATGTTCTTTGTAATTAGGTATACCAGACTGTGGGGATATCCCAAATCAATAAAGTTCCAAGTTAACTCTTTATAATTGCTCATTTTTCTGATAATATATGAATATGGGTTCCAGGAGTTAATATAAAAGAGGATGAGTGAATTTCAGAGTGCTATCTGTATCAAAGATAGAGTTAGACATGTTTCCACTCACTGAAACTATCAATGTGTGTTTCAAATTTGGCCTAAAATGTGAAAGGTTTACTATATAGTAAGTTTTAATCTTGTTATAATATGGAGGAAGTCTAGAGCTATTTTAAGCATCCAGTTGCAAAACTCAGATTTCTTACTGACTTGAATTATTGGAAGAGTTAAAATTAGCTTGAGACTCCATTAAGGGACTAGTTTTTTGTTGTTTGTTTTTGAAAATGTTGACTGAATCCATCATTTTTTTTTTTTGAAGGATTTGGTTTTTTGAGACAGGGTCTCCCTTTAGCTCAAGCTGGCCTAAACTTGCTATGTAGACCAGGCTGGCCTCAATCTCACATAGATTCACCTGCCTCTGCCTCCCGAGTGCTGGGATTAAAGGCATGCACCACGATACTTGACTCATTCTATCATCTAAAAAAAAAATAATAATAGAGTATTTTCTTTTGATAGTGATATTACCTAGCAGGGATGACCTAGAGCTGTGTGTGTGTGTGTGTGTGTGTGTGTGTGTGTGTGTGTGTGTGTATTTAAGTTGACCTTGGTCCTTATGTCCTTCTGGTACAATTGTAACTAAGTGCCATAGTGCAATGGAGTTTGCAAGCCCACAACTAGCACTCCCAAGAAATAAAAACATGGAGAAAGATTTACTTATGGCAGGTAAGGAGAATATGGGAGGAAGGAAGCATGGGGATTTTAATGGGGGTGGGAGTCTCTGTTCATGTTGGGAAGCACTTTAGATGTGGGCACATTTCTGAGCATGCTCAGTTTTAAGTCATTGTTAAAGGATAGACGGCAGGCACATTTTTGAGCATGCTTAGCTCACAGTCATGGAGCACATGTTCAAAGGGTTAAAATAAAATGGTGGTCAGGAGCCCTTTGGGCACGCTCAGCTTGCACCATAAAGATGGCAGACAGGAACACCTCTAGGCTTTCATCACGAAACTTCAGATGAAAAACAGAAAAACACAATTTTAACATGCTTTGACACATTTTCTCTTTCAAGGAACCCTCCTTGCTTAGCAGTCAACAAAATCCAGTAGCAATAACAGTGTGCTTCTACTTAATAGTTTTGAGTGAGGTGTCTTTGTTATTTTTAAAATATTTTTTGTTTATTTTGTTATTTTGTTTATGTGTATGCATGTCTTGCCTGCATGTGTGTATCCATGTCATGCATTGCCTGGAGGAGGTCAGAAGAGGGCATCGGATTCCCCTAGAACTAGAGTTATGGAAGATTGCTAGCCACCATGTGGGTACTGGGATTCAAACTCTGGTCTTCTGCAAGAACAGCCAGTGCTCTTAACTGCTGAGCCATCTCCCCAGCCCTTGTTCATTTTTAATAAGTTAGTTTTACTACAGGATTCAGACAATTTCCCCATCAAGGAAGTTGTAAACTTTGGAGCCAGAAAAGAATCTGAAAACTTTTCCCAGATCATGAGAATGAAAAACAGCCAATAGGAGATGCAGCATTTATTTCCCATGGGGCCTTGTTTCCACTGCAGTGGCTCACTGGCCCTTTTGGACAGACACTGAATAGAGAAAACTAATTTCAGTTTCTAGAAAACATTTCTTGGTGCTCTGGAACTCATCTCAGATTATGTTACACTCCCAGGTTCATTTCTCCAAAGAGGCGATTTCAGCTAAGGGAGGCAGATGCCATGGTGGCTGCATGTTCCTCTTTTCCTCTTCCCTCCCACACCCGTACCACTTGTAGACATCTGCACTGACCTGTGAGACACTGAAGTCCCTTGGCTAGAGAAAAAAAACCTCCAAATTGCTCTCCTGAGTTATGAGATTACTGCTGGTGCTTGTTATGTCCCAAGGCAAGAGCAGGTGTAAGGCTCAGCATGACCAAAATCAACGGTAAGGATGTTATACACTTAAATCCACAACTTAACACATCCTAAATTCCAGTAGAGGACATCAGATACTGTTATAACCCATTAGCTATGTTTTCAAAAACTCTGCTTGAAGTTTAAAAGGAAGTTTGGTCTTCTTTGAACTATTTAGTTTTTTAAATCTTCCTTTTAAAGACTGTCTCATCTTGGATTGCCTCGTATTTATCTAC